CATTTGAAGATCTAGATCTGGGTCCAGACAAATTTCACCGACTTATCTTTCACATATCTAGACGTCTCTCTCTCACTCACTATTCAGTAGGGTTTTGTTCTTTCTTGTCCTCTTCTTGTTTTGTCCTTATAGAATTAATGGAAGTTTAATCAAACATCAACTCTCTGAAACACTCTCAGTGAGAAACCACTTCCTCACTTAAATTTCTTGTCGAGACTTTTGTCATTATCTCTCTCTATAAACAAAAAAATCCAAACACTAGTTTCTTGTTTTTTTGTTATCAATGTCTGGTTATACGCACCCTCAGCTAGGGCAAGAACTGCATCTACAGAGACATGAAGATTCCATAAGTACCCCACCTGACCATAAGAACATGGAACTTAACAGATCTGAAGCAGATAACATCGAAGCAAAGGCCGAGACCACTCCTACCGGCGGAGCAACTAGCTCAGCCACCGCCTCTGGTTCTTCCTCCGGTCGCCGTCCACGTGGCCGTCCTGCTGGTTCCAAGAACAAACCTAAACCTCCGACGATTGTTACCAGAGATAGTCCTAACGTCCTTAGATCCCACGTTCTTGAAATCACCTCCGGCTCGGACATATCACAAGCTGTTTCAACTTACGCGACTAGACGCTGTTGCGGCGTTTGCGTTATAAGCGGGACCGGTGCGGTCACTAATGTCACGATACGGCAACCGGCGGCTCCGACAGGTGGAGGTGTGGTTACACTGCATGGTCGGTTTGAGATATTGTCTTTGACCGGGACTGCGCTTCCGCCGCCTGCACCGCCGGGAGCAGGTGGTTTGACGGTGTATCTAGCCGGAGGACAAGGACAAGTTGTGGGAGGGAATGTGGCTGGTTCGTTGATTGCTTCAGGTCCAGTAGTGTTGATGACTGCGTCTTTTGCAAACGCGGTTTATGATAGGTTACCGATTGAAGAGGAAGAAACTCCGCCGCCGAGAACCACCGGAGTGCAGCAGCCTCAGTCGACGGCGTCTCAGTCGTCGGAGGTTACGGGGAGTGGTGCTCAAGTGTGTGATTCAAATCTCGGAGGAAGAGGAGGAGTAGCTTTCTATAATCTTGGAATGAATATGAACAATTTTCAATTCTCCGGCGGAGATATTTTCGGTATGAGCGGAGGCGGTGGCCGAGGATAAGGAGATGGTGGAGGTGGGGGTGTTAATAGACCGGCGTTTTAGCGTTTTGGTGACACTTTTTGTTGCGTTTGAGTTTGATCTCAAACTACTAGCTATAGGGATTGTGAAATGCGAATATTAGGGTTTCTTTTGGTTTTTTTTTTCCTTTTACAAAATTTGGTGAGTGAAAATGAAGACGATAGCTTAAATTTCTTTTTTTTTCTTGCTTATTATGAATAGAATCGGTAAAAGTGTTGTAAAAAGAAGATACTTATTTCTTTTTCTTTCTTGCTTGTTATTTTGTGACATCTTAGACTATTGTTATGACATGTTCTAGTTAAATATTAGGTGAAGAATGCGGAGCAAATGATTTTTAATTACTGTCATAACATGTTATAATTTGTGTGTATAATACAGCCAAGTCATATACTGTATTATATAATTTGGTCATGAAACTGAACTTCCACTGTCTGGCAAGTGGCAAAGAATATTTTGGGAGAATAACTAAACCCTAATTTCTATGATGTCAACTTCAAAAGACATTGAAACTTGAGAAAAACCAAAAACTATATTTGGAAAAACAAAAAAGCCTGCATGCAAAGAATATGCTTCCTCTCTACCAAGGTTATACTAAACATATACTACAAGTTTATGTGAGGGGATTTAATTTACGGAATGAGAGGCATGTAAGATGACGAATTTGATCATTAGGTTTCTTAGCATTTGCCAATTACTTTGACTAAATTTTTATAGAAGACTATCACTTTAATCACAATGGATTTTTGTTACCCGCGCGCATTCATGTATGAAACTCGACACCATTTACAAGCCATTTTATCTCTTCTATATATTATTCTTTCCGTTTCAAAATAATTATCATTTTAGGTTATTTCACACATATTAAAAATATTTTACTTCTAATTAATATAATGTTTTATTTGATATGAATAATTAATAAGGTTAAAAGAATGGACACAAATGAAAAAAATGAATCATAATGTGCATTAAAATTGCAGAATAACAAATAATATAAAACAAAAACTTAAGCCTAGAATGACAAAGTTTTGAAAAATATTAAATCTTTAGTCTTATATATGAACTAAGAATTAAGATGATCATTTTCACAAAAAAAAAAAAAAAGAATTAAGATGATCACTAACTTAGCAAACCCATATTGGAATTATTTTCCCTATGAAACAAAAAAAAACTATAATTTCTTTCACGAATGGCGGCGAAGAAAATTTAAACCAAAAAAGGAATAAGTAGTAAATTTCTGTTTTGTTGTGATCATATTTGTCGTAGAATTTTATTTAAAGTGATATTTTATTATTTATTAAAAATAAGCATACTGCAAAAGGGCCATTGTTATACTTTTGTTTTTTTTTGTTAATACCAAAGGAAAATAAAATTTTAGAGAGATGGAACAAAATGATTAGAAAAATTGTAGATCATAGTCGGGTCGTCTCGCATGGATCCGACCCGGAATGGACTCCGCTTTCAATACCCTTAATTTACCATTATACCCCTAGCAATTTTTTCTTTCTCCGAGGAAGGATCGGATCATCATCAGCTTCTGGATTTCGTTGCTACAGATTTGTTCCGTCTTCGAGTTACGAAATCATGGTAACAAATCTATACACTCTGCGAATTCTGATCGTTTTCTTCTGCATATGAATTTCGCATTTCTCGGATTCGTTCTTCATTTCGATAGTTAGTTCTGTACCCGATCGTCTGGTGTGTTAGTTTTCCGACTTGAATCATCTGATAGACGTTTTGGGTTTGTCGTTTGGAGCCTGAGAATGCTATGTTTCAGATCAAATTATACTTTACAGATAGAAATTTGGTATCTTTATTCGAACCCAGTCGATATTTCCTCTTGCTTGATCCTTGAGATAACGCTAGCTTCTGGGTTCGATTTCGTAGGGTTTGATCTTCCTAATTAGTTCAATGGCTTGATGGTTGAGATAATGAGTCTGGATTTTTTTTTTGGTAGAAGTCTGGATTTTCTTTTGATATATAGAAGTGAATGTAGTTGTGTTCATACGAATAAATCTTGATGGAATTTGAGTTTTTGGGGATTGATCTCCTTATTAGTTGATCTGCGTGGTCTTTTCTCTTTCGCTCTGGCTTGCTCAACGAGCTACCTTGTGTATCTTTAACCTCCAGTATCGTAAAGCTATGGTTTTTAAAAGGATCTTTTTGGGTGATCTTGGCTTCTCCTCTTTTGAGTACTTTTACTGGTGAAAATTCTATAGACTTTTGGAAACTTGCGACCATTTCTGTGCAATGAGTAATGATTTTAGTTGGGTGAAATGAATCTGCTATCGTACCTTCCCCAATTGTTTGGATTCTGTCATTGAAATTTTTTTGAGTGAAATTGTGAATGGTCTTAATTTACATTGGGAAATGTTGTGTGTGTGTTTTCAGATACATTTTGTGCTTCTAGTCAGTCGGCAAGGAAAGGTAAGGCTCACCAAATGGTATTCTCCTTACACGCAGAAGGAAAGATCCAAGGTATGAATACCAAATTATTGAGCTTTAATACCTTGTTGTGCGTTGCATACGTTTTATCTTACATAGGAAACACGTTATATGGATAGGTTATACGTGAACTCAGTGGAGTGATTCTGAATCGAGGTCCAAAACTTTGCAATTTTGTTGAATGGAGAGGATACAAAGTTGTTTACAAAAGATATGCAAGCCTCTACTTCTGCATGTGCATTGATCAGGAAGATAACGAGTTAGAGGTCCTTGAGATAATTCATCACTACGTAGAGATCCTCGATCGCTATTTCGGAAGTGTGAGTAAAAAAAAAAAAAACCAGCATCTGGTAACCTCTACTTCCACTTTTTATTATCTTTTTACCTTAAAGAAACATCTAGATTTTGATCGAGATTTTTTTTATCTATGACCTTCAGGTGTGTGAACTCGATTTGATTTTTAACTTCCACAAGGTAATAACATACCACAAACACTCTGACGACTTTGCTCTCTGCATCTTAATTTCTTGATGACACTTTGTGGATTTCTTGTTGCTTTCTTAGGCGTATTACATTTTGGATGAGCTCTTGATTGCTGGAGAGCTTCAAGAGTCAAGCAAGAAAACAGTAGCCAGGATTATATCAGCCCAGGTACTGAATTCTAATTTTAAGTCATCATGAAAAGATTTTAAGTATTGATAGGATCTGTGCTGACAAAATGAAAATATCTGTCTGTTTTGATTCTTGAAGGATCAACTGGTGGAGGCTGCAAAAGAGGAAGCTGGTTCGATAAGTAATATAATCGCTCAGGCTACTAAATAGTTTCATTCATCAGCTGTGCACTCTTACGCGGTTAAAACATGTTTCCCTTGGGATGCTATGGTAAATGTTTTGAGAAAAAAAATTTTCGACTTTTCGTCTTAAAGCACAACTTGGATTAAGGAACACAAGATCAAACAAGTTTATCCTCGTAATCGTAACCTTGGTTCTACACTTGTCTGACTTATTGTGAAGCGACATTACTACTATATCAGGCCAATCTTAATTTGCACATATTCTCTTGAGCCTAAGAGATAAGGAACAACATCAGATAAATAGCCTTGCTCGACAAATGAGGCCGAGACGACAAATCTTCCAAGTGTCAAGGTCGTAATGCAGCCTATTTAGTTTTTCAACCTGAAAGTTTTCAAAGAGAAGATTATCCTTTGTGGTATTTCAAGGATAATAATTAGGTTTGAGAAAAGGGTAAAAGATCAGTGTCGAACCTCTTGAGTAACGAGCAGATAGGAATGAAACTAGTTCCTCTGGACTGATAACATTAGAGCTGCAAATGTTCTGCCTTCGTGCTCGAAAACGAGTATGTGAGTTCGTGCCACATTTCATATCCCATCTGTCCATGCCATTGAAACTTGTCTGTTTCTCGTGCCATGTTATAAGTATTTGCAACAAAGGAAAAAGTTACGGTATGG